CTATGTGGACCAATATAAACTGGGCGAGGGGCGCCATGTGGCTGTTGGGTATTCCGTTTTACCTCAGACGTTCTCCTCCTCATCTCTCGTTGTGGCGGGGTTTTGTCCTCCATAATTTTCAGACATTTGAAAGTCATATTAAGCACAATGAGATTGCGTTTTAGAATAAATTGTTTAGCGATAAGTTCATTTTAAAACTGGAAAAGTATGGGACACGCGTAACGCATTACATCTTTTCGTAGTCTGATGCAGCTGGACCAACAAGATTGCATACCACATGCAGTAAGAAGCAATTTCTGAACAGTTTTTAATGGTAACTTGTCTGGCACATTAAATACCACCGCATTGTGTGAACAGCGTACTTGATTGTGTACTTCAGTCGAAATGGAGTCTATCAGTACACTGCACTTCATGAGGTTCATTCTATCAATATTTGGGGGCGATTCAAATAATTCAGATAGACTCTGCAAAGGCTGCAATATCGATGTGAGCATGTCGACCTTTGATGCAAGTTCAGCGTATGTAGTTTCAGCTACTGATGGACATTTTTCAGGTGTCTTTCTCAGGTCAGCATGTAGTCCAAGGGAATTTCCTACAGTGCCTACACTGCTTCGGGTATTTTCTTTACTACTGCTTCCAGTCTTTGTGCAAAGTACCTTAGTTCGTTGTCGCAGATTTTGAACTAAAATGGAAGAATCCTGGCTCATAATACTTTTTTTCCTCATGGAGCGTGTCCTTACTGTAGACATGATAATGAAACCGAAGTAAGATACACTGAAGCAAAATCAGAGGAGCTTAGACAATGGGCGCTAACTTTCGATCTTTAACTGAAAATTCACGTCTAATATAATACTGGTGAAAAATGGCAACTCCCGGAAAATGTGCGATTTAATTAGGAACAAAAAGAACGCGCCGCAGTGAACTATTTGAATCTCCGCCTCCGAGTTGCACACGCTGTTGCTTGGGAAACGCGACCTCTCCACCAAATCCAAACGTGTTGTTGTTGTCTCACCTTTCCAATGACACACCGGTTAGCAGTCGGGTCAGCACAGACAGGTCACAAGCGGTTGCAGGTGAGTACAGACAGGCCTCGGAAGGAAGCACGGGTTATCGGTCTGGTCAGAGCGCTTCTTGGTGTGGCACTAGTGGTGTGTGGATGGTGGGTTGATTTGGTGTCAGCCTCAGTGACTAAGATACAAGCTAAAGAGTAGCGGTAGATCCCATATATTGCTGCATGTATCTGACTTACGCAGCTATCGATAAAAGAAGTCGTGTAGTTGTTAAAGAGCCCTTATGTTGGGCTTCGAAAAAAAGGTCACAATTTTTGGTGTGGGATGCAAACCGAAAGAAATTCCTCGTGTAAACCTCCACAGAGAAAACGGGAAAATTAAAAATCCACGGGATATAGTCGTCTACAACGCGTGGATTCGAAATACGCTGTACGTTAGAAAGAGCACGTCGAGCCGGTTCGTTTGAGCGTACAGTGATAACGATGCGAGCAGATGGAGAGAGGAGTGGTCGAAAAATACTAGGAAGGTTTCAACCCCTTAATAAAAGGCAAAAAGTTGGAGAGGGTCAACTCACAGTTTAATCACAGTCGAGTTCGAGTCGTAGGTTGCGCTATACCTGTGACACACGTCGAGCACAATGGAAATAGACGTTCGATAATAATTCCGAATATACTATCCGATTTTCAAGCAGACTGGACGGCACCGTACACACGCAGAAGCAGCACAGCCAGAAATCAGCACGACGGAACGCGGGGCGCGAAGAAGTGTATTGTAATCATTAATTCAAACAAACTGTACAAAAGATGTCATGATAAAATGGATGACAAGAAAGACAAAATGCAAAAGATTAATAACCACTACATAACTCCCCCGTAGAGCGTGAACTGGTAAGGTAACGCTCGATATAGCTATTTAGGGAACAAACTCAGCTAGTTTGGAGGGGAAAGACACAGAACGTCCTGAACGTGTGTGTTTGGGATCATTCGTTGGGCGAGCGCATGAAGGTTCTGGAGCATTGGAAGCGGTCGGTTGACCAACAGGGGGTAACGACTTGGGATCCGTCAAAGTAACGGCAGGCTCAACATAAGCGGGTTTAAGACGGTCAATACTCACAGATTCTTTCGATCCATTCCTTTCCAGTATGAAGTATTTAGGTTTCCGTGACAACACTTTGAAAGGACCTTCATAAGGGGGTGTCAACGGCTTGCGAACTGCATCAATGCGAATGAAAACAAAAGGACAAGTGTGTAAGTCCGGATGAATTCGTTGTTCGCGGGCAGTGAAGCGAGTAGACGTAGGTCGAACTGTTCGGAAGTGTTGTTTGAGACGTTCGGCGTAGGACACAGGATCTATCTCACCAGTGACTCGGGAATCCAAAATCATCTCACCTGGAAGTCTGAGAGTGGTGCCAAAGACGAGTTCGGCAGGGCTGCATCCAATATCCTCTTTGACGGTATTACGGATACCAAGAAGGACAGCTGGGATGCGTTCAGACCAATGTGGATCAGGTGAATTAGCTGTGATGGCGGCTTTAAGCTGTCGATGGAAACGCTCGACAAGGCCATTCGAAGCGGGATGATAAGCAGTTGTTCGAATGTGGGTACAACCCAACAGACGATTCAAGTCACGGAACAAGGTGGAACTAAACTGAGATCCTCGATCTGTAGTGATCGTAGATGGTACACCGAAAAAGGAAATCCATGAATCGAAAAATGCACGGGCAACAGATTCTGAAGATATGTCACGTAAAGGAATGGCGTGCGGCCAACGAGTAAAACGATCAACACAAGTCAAAATGAAAGTGAAATTGTTCGACGGAGGAAGCGGTCCGACTATGTCTAGGTGGACATGTCTAAAACGTGCCTCAGGTAGTGAGAATGTTCCGGGGGCAGAAATAGTGTGTCTGTGTACTTTGCTGCTCTGGCAGCTGAGACAGTGTTTAGCCCATTGGCGGATATCAGAGCGCATACTAGGCCAGATGAAACGATCAGTAATCAACTTCACAGTAGATCGAATGCTAGGATGCGATAGTCCGTGAAAATGGTCAAAGACGGTTCGCCGGAAAGACTGTGGAACAAACGGTCTTGGCTTACCGGTGGAGACATCGCAGTGAATCCTTGCGTCTGAGTTTAAAATTGGTAATTGCAAGAATTTCAATGTGGTATTCGATCGAAGCTGAGCGAGTTCAGGATCGTTGTTCTGGGCAACAGACATTTCCTCAAGGTCTATTGGTGAGGACGACAGTTGATGTATGTGAGCACGTGAAAGTGCATCAGCGACAACATTATTTGGACCATCGAGGTAGCGAATGTCGACACAAAATTGTGAGAGGTAATCCAGATGTCGTGTCTCTCTCGGAGAATAGCGATCGGAAGCGGCGCGAAAAGCGTAGACCAACGGCTTGTGGTCCGTCAGAATTACAAAACGTCGTCCTTCAAGGACGTGACGAAAGTGCTTGACGGCCAAGTACATCGCGAGAAGTTCGCGACCGAAAGTACTGTACCTCGTTTGTGCTGGTTGTAGCTTCCGAGAAAAGAAAGACAACGGCTGAATCTCATTGCCAATTAGTTGTTGAAGTACAGCACCGACAGCGGATTGTGAGGCATCAGTCTTGAGAACGAGAGTGGCTTTCTCGTCGGTGTCCAAGTAGCTCAGGGAAGTTACCTGGCTTAACTTCTGCTTGATGGCAACAAACGCTGTTTCGGCTTCTGGAGTAATGATGAACTTCTTTGGATTACCTTTAAGTAAATCAGTCAAAGGCTGAAGAACAGCAGCACAATTGTCAATGAATCTTCCGTAATAATTAACCATGCCAAGGAATCGGCGCAGGTTTTTAACGGATTGGGGCAGTGGATAGTCCATGATTGCCTGGGTTTTCTCAGGGATGGGACTAATGCCTTTGCTATCGATTTTGTGACCAAGAAAATCGACGGAAGATTGACCAAATAGGCATTTATCAGGATTAATGGTTATCCCGTGATGGTCGAAGCGTTCAAATACTTGTCGGAGGTGATTCAAGTGCTCTTCTGGCGTGGCACTGGCTATGAGAACATCGTCAATGTAGACAAAAACAAAGTCTAGACCACGGAGGACCTGGTCCATGAAGCGCTGGAAGGACTGTGCCGCATTGCGAAGGCCAAAAGGCATACGAGTGAACTCGTACAAACCGAAAGGTGTGATAACGGCAGTTTTAGCAATGTCCTCAGATGCCATTGGAATTTGATGGTACGCTCGTACAAGGTCAATCTTGGAAAAGACTGATTTCCCGGACAATCCCAATGAAAAATCATGAATATGAGGGATAGGGTATCTGTCGGGAATAGTAACGGCGTTGAGTGCCCGGTAATCACCGCATGGACGCCAATCACCGGACTTTTTGGGTACAAGATGAAGCGGAGAAGCCCAACAACTGTTGGACGGGCGAATGATTCCGAGGTTGAGCATGTGCTCGAATTCGCGTTTAGCCGCTTGGAGCTTGTCAGGTGGAAGACGTCTCGGTTTGGCTGACACGGGTGGACCTGTGGTGACGATATGATGACGAACCTCGTGTTTAGGCTCGGTGGAGTCGGTATTAGAACGGACCAAAGACGGAAATTGCTGAAGCAATGAGGAATACGGCGTAGAGTCTGGCATGAGTACGCGAAGTCCAACGGAAGTGACTGGGGCGAGATGGCAAGGGACAGTGAGCGAAGTGCTGTCGTCCCGTAACTTCCTGCAACGTAGGTCGACAACGAGGCCGAATTTGCTAAGGAAGTCGATGCCAAGTATGGGTTTCTGGACATCAGCGATGGTAAAGATAAAAGGAAAGTCGCGTCGTAAACCAAGGCTTAGGTGTAACAGCTTCTGGCCGTATGTCGCGATCTTGGTCTGGTTAGCCGCCTGTAACGTAAGTCCGGCTTGTTGCAGAGGGCGTTTTTCCAACGAACGTGGTATAACGCTGATTTCTGCGCCCGTATCGACCAAAAAATGAAGTTTAGTCGTGGAGTCGAACACGTACAGAAGGCGACTGAGGATTTGGCCAGCGACAGCCGTCGCCATTACTGGCTGGCTTTGGCGTTTCCCGGTTGCGAAATCGAAGTTCCTTTCGGATATTTGCATCCTGGGCGACAGTTACGTGCTGATTTACCGAAGCGACGGTGGAAATAACAGTACGACCGCTGACGTGAGCGTGATGTGCTGCGGCGCGGATCACGAGGACTTCTTCGGCTGGTAGTGCGTTCACGTCGAATAGCAGACATGCTGAGTTCTAGACGGGATATTCTATCATTTATCGAATCAAGCGTAGTGCTAGGGGATGAGCTGGCTGTGGTGGACTCAGTTAGATGATTAAGAGTACTCTTAAAGAAACATTCGTGCGTTTTGTCCGCAGCTTCTGCGAGCTTCTCCAGCGTGATATCGTCGCTAAGAACTGATAATATCGCTGTGATGTTTGCCGGAAGACATTTGGTCCAAAGTTGGCGGAGTATGGAATCGTCGAGTTTCGACGAACCAACTAGGGAACGCATGTGCCTTAGAAGCTGGGATGGGGTGCGATCGCCAAGCTCGACGCCGGAAAGTAACTGTTGCAGACGAGCTTCATCAGACGCAGTTGTGCGTTTAAGGATAGCTGCTTTAAGTTTATCATACGGCGATTCAACAGGCATAGGGTCAAGAATATCAATGACTTCAGATGCAATGGAGACAGGTAAGCGCGAGACGACGTAAGAGAACATGGAAGACTGTGAAGTGATCTTACGACATCGAAAAGTGGCTTCCACCTGAATAAACCATACGCGTGGATTGGAAATGTCAAAGTTAGGAAGCGAGAGTTCGACGGAATTGTCCGTAAAAACACATGGGGTCTGGTCAGACATGACTAAGAAAAAATACGTGTTCAAAAAAAATAAGGCAGGGTCACCAATTTATGTAGTGGTCGAAAAATACTAGGAAGGTTTCAACCCCTTAATAAAAGGCAAAAAGTTGGAGAGGGTCAACTCACAGTTTAATCACAGTCGAGTTCGAGTCGTAGGTTGCGCTATACCTGTGACACACGTCGAGCACAATGGAAATAGACGTTCGATAATAATTCCGAATATACTATCCGATTTTCAAGCAGACTGGACGGCACCGTACACACGCAGAAGCAGCACAGCCAGAAATCAGCACGACGGAACGCGGGGCGCGAAGAAGTGTATTTTAATCATTAATTCAAACAAACTGTACAAAAGATGTCATGATAAAATGGATGACAAGAAAGACAAAATGTGAAAGACTGTGTTAGGTAAAACGACGGAACCATTACCAAACGTTCCAGAACATCGACAAATTGGGGAACTAACATTTATTGCAATATACATAAGCAATCTCACGGCAAAAAACAGGCGATCACAATGAGTACACAGAGTAAATAAGAGAGCAAAGCAGCATGTTCCGTTTGGGGTGAAGCATAATTCCAGTAGATCTCAAATAGCTTTGTTATCAGCCGTGACTTTTGATGCACTTTGAATGTGCAATTTGCTTGAGCATGCACTATAGACGATTGCCGAGCAACAGTGTAAGCGATTGCATGAGCCCAAAGAATTGTCTAGTAGGCCGATTTTGATCGTCATATTTCCAAGTGCGGCGATGCTAGACCATATATGGTCAATAATAATATTAATAACAATAATAAGAATAAGGTATCTTTCTCGCGGTACTGAGAAACCGAGCCGACAATGTGTCGGATCATATTTATATTGCAACTTGTTCAGGCATACAAGGCAGTCAATTGTTTGGGTTTCTACAGTGTTATAATATAAATGTTTTTACGAATATTTTCATTTGGGACTTTCGTTGCCGTATGCTACCAGTTCGGGGGCATTCTCATTTGGTTGTTTTCGGTGCAAGTTGGTAGTGCCATAATGGTAGCGGTTTTATGGGGGGTGAAGGGAGTATGAACAGGATGAAACAGTTAGATTCACCAATTAAAATCAGATGGGTAATACATAATCTAACTTACTAGACTGGAGTAATACAGTCGCAGCTATTTACGCGTAGCAAGTTAGAGAGTTGCGAAAACAAGGAAAAGACTATATTAAGGTAACTCCAGTGGATCATCATACTCAAGTTGCTTTATCAGAATCATTTAGGCCGTATTCACATCGCAGGGATTTAAAGCATAGCGTAGTGTCTAGACATACATTGGTCTAATTATGGATTTGGGCTAATCAAGTTGTGTTTTGGGTTGCCAGATGGTTGAGATGCCGGGTAGTTTAGTTGCATTCCTTAGCTTTTACTTGCAGGTGGATATTTATGTCATGGGTGCCTATGCACGGAAAAGATAATGTTGAAAAGGGAGCATTAAACAGATAAGTAGATAAAGAGTATTATTGTGTGAAGTTTAGTCGTGACTTCTACTTTCTACGAGAGAAATAAGCGCCTATTCACTACAAAGGCAGGACTTATTCAGTGCATTGTAGACTTATAGTTATCAAAGATGATGTGATTAGGAAAGTGTGCAATAGTTATTTATTGCTTTGCGTAGAAATATAGAGGAAATGCACCACAACTAAGAGTGCCGCTATGGTCTAAGGAGTAATTTAAAGCAATATCGGTAATTAGGACGATAGTGATGAAGTAACTAATAATCAGGAGCACAACATATTCAGTGCAGAAGAAAGTAGGGTAAGAAAAAAACAAGGAAAGTAATACGGTCATTTGTGGAGCCGTCTCCCGGGGACCTGCTTCCATGCGGGGTAGTCCATCGAGAGGTTTCACCTGCACATTTACTTCCCATCTGGTCATGTATCGGTGTGGTTTAAAAGCACGCTGGTCACAACCGATTTTATTCGTCATTTAGGCGATTGATTTTTGCTGCTGAGCTAGTTAGTCAAGCCCGTCAGCCCTTTCGTCATTCATAGTCTTTTTGAGTGCATAATGAACGGATCACCGGCTGACGTGATATGCCATTAAGTGTATGTTCAGCAGTTAAGATTGGAGTTGTTTACTTTTAGCACAGTTTTATATTCACCAGTGGGTCTTTTGGCATGGGCACACATGTTACTTAGAAGCTTCAAACCATCACCTCAGGCGATCGGAAGCTTCGTGACCAACAGAATAACAGGAGAATAAGGTGAAATAGTTAGAGCATGGAGCGGCAATATCAACGAAATAAGTAGCCAAATAGCATGTCTCGTGACATTGTAGGATGCTATATGACTGGGTGCGATAAAATATTGCAGAATTTAGAATATCAGTTATGGTTATCAATGAGTTGGCTTCTTTTTTCAATACGCACTAGGTGCTACAAATTATCCGGATGCCATAGGACAGTAAAATATTTACAAAATGCGAAGAGTGGAAAAGCAAAGGATATGGTTTGTTTATTTCCTCACCTACAAGTGGGACTTCGAGGATGGCAGTTTAGATCCTGAAGCTAATGTATTCTAGAGTGTAGTGAACTTGCATTATTGGAATATATGGTTTGAACCGGGACGAAATTAACACATCTGAAGTCACTTGAAGACCAAATATTTTCATTATGTTCTTCAGGTTGAGAAAAGCTCCCAGGTTTATTTTGAATTTGCTTAGGTGCCCAAGTGCCCGTACTTTTAAAGGTAGCTCGTACCATATGTGAGTATACCTCAACAGGAAGAAGTTGGAGCGGATTATTTCACGGGTAATGGGCAACCCTATTTTTGGGATAGGTTGCGGAATTTCGCAAATTAATATCTATTCTCTTAGTGTACACCCATCAAAGCATAATGTTGTAAAAGAGAATTAGGTTATTTCTCAGGCGGCGCAGCCATATAGGGTCTAGTTTAAGGCGGCGACGGCATTCTTCATAGTTCAGAGTGGTGGACCGGCCAATAACGACTTCCGTGAAAGAAGGTTGAATGTTTTCCAAAGCAATTCGATCCGTTCTACGCAAGTGGTGTTGGATAATTGTGCAGTATTCCAGCACAAGTCTCAAGATAAACTTAACCTTTTCAAGTTTCGCTATAGGTAGTACAAAGGATCTAGTTATATAGGCTTTCAATTGCCTGGCATTTGTTATCTGATATGAGACATGCTCGGAAACGTTCAGCGATGCGGAGTATGTTAATCCACGGTACCTAACTGAAGAGAAGTTTGGGACGTTTGCACCTGCTAGGGTGATGGAACCATGCGGTATACAGCATCCATACCGAAGCAATTGCGATTTTTCAGCGGAGAAATTCACGGACCCGTTTTTACACCAAGAGTCCAGCGCAAATAAATCCTCATGTATATTCCTAAGGCCCGACTCAAGGCTATCGTGTGGAAATGAGTAGACGAGTTTAATATCGTCCGCAAAGAGGTATGATGGTCCAAGTTTGATGGCATCACATACGGTAGTTATATACATTAGAAACAGTAGTGCTCCAAAGACACTGCCTTCTACAACTCCGCCTGTAACTTTTCTCGAGGAGGAGAGTTGCTGGTCTATCTAACTCGCTGGCCCCGATCATTTAGGTAGGATGTAAACCAGGTCAGCAGTGGGTGGCTGAATCCGTAAAAGTGCAGGACGGACAGCAAAAGTATACCTGGCACATCATCGAAGGTCTTCAATGGTTCAATGGTTCAATGGTGTATGATGGGATAAAAAGCATAACTTTACAAGACCCACAGGATGGATATGCAGAAGAAAATTAAAATCAAAATGTTCCAACGTGGAACGTAAAGTATCAGTGGTTAAATCATTGCACTTTAACAAAGTGTTGTGTATCGTTTATCACTAAGATGAAAATCTAAGAGTCTTTCGAATGTCGTCATGTCTGGTGCGTTCACCACATAGTTTGGTAATGCATTCCAGTGAGAACAGATTCTAAGTGAGAAAAAATACTTTCTACAATTCAAACGAGAGTGTTGCGTCATTAGTTTCAGGTGGTTGCCTCGGTTTTGTTTGTATGGGGCTAGAGTCAACAGCGATGTACATGGATGCTCGCTTTCGGTTAATATCCGGTATGTGAGAGTAAGATCACCGCGAAGCCGTCGGTATTCTAATGAGAACACCCCGAGTACACGAAGACGCATTTCGTAACTTATACCGGATAGTCCACGCGTTGCTTTTGTGGCTCTTCTTTGGGGCTGTTCCAAGAGGCGGATGTCTCGTTTTAACCATGGACACCAGGCCTGAATTGCATATTCAACATGAGGACGAATGTAGGAGTTAATCAACAATGGTACTAGCTGTCGCTCAAAAGTGCCGAGAGCTCGCCTCAAAAGTCTCAAGTTCAAGTTCGCTACACTTGCTGCTTTCGAACACTGGAGCGAATTTCCAAGACTCTCTTGCACGATTATACCTAGGTCGCGTTCACTAGTCACGTGTTGCATGACATATTGCCCCAAAAAGTATGTGTTAACGAAGCTGTTGTGCACCGTCAGCAGGTGGCACTTTGCAGCGTTCAGTGGGAGCTGGTTCTTTTCTGCCCATTCGTTAATCCGGGTCAGATCTTCCTGGAGGTAGACATGGTCGGATGCTGAGCGAATAACTCTCCATATTTTAGCGTCGTCTGCAAATATTTGCATTGGAGATAGAATGTCTGCTGGAAGGTCATTGATGTAGACTAAAAATAGTAGCGGGCCGAGGACGGATCCTTGTGGAACACCACTGGAGACGTAAAGGCTTTCGGAATAGGTGTCAGCTACTCTTACTTTGATTGCTCTGTCGTGTAAGTAGTCTTCCAACCAAGTGAGCAGGGAGCCGTTGATACCGTAGGCAGCAAGCTTTTGGAGGAGAAAGAAGTGATTGACCCTGTCGAATGCTTTAGAAAAATCCAGGTATATCACATCTATGGGGACTCCTTCATGAGCCGCCCTGGTCCATAAGTCCCGAGTAATCAGCAAATTGGTGAGACAAGATCGTCTGCGTCGGAACCCATGTTGGGCATTAGAAATTATCAGTTGACTTTCAAAGTATCGCGTCAGTTCATCTGCGATTACCGATTATATAACTTTTGACAAAACAGGAAGGAGAGTAATAGGTCGGTAGTTAGCAGGATCCGAACGCTTACCACCTTTATATATCGGAGTGATAATTCCATTTTTCCACTCAGATGGGAGTGTATGGGAGTTAAGCAGACACTGAAAAAAGGTTGCAAGTGGTGTTGCTATGGTGGGGGCAAGGGTTTTTAGTACTTTTGGGCAGATCATGTCGATTCCAGGGGCACTGTACTGCTGCATAAGTTCACCCACACATTTACAAAAAAAATACGCGAAGGCTCATAGA